GCTTCTCCCTCTGACCCTCCCCCCTCTCATGTGCTCTCTCTCTCTCATTCTCTCTCTCAAATAAATAAATAAAATCTTTAAAAAATATATATATATATTCTATTGGAGAAATACTTGAGGCACCATTGTAATTGCTTTTAAATATCCCTCCACACACAAATAACACACACAAATATTTTTACCATACTCTGTCCTAAAGGCAGTTTTCTGTGGTTTAAGTTTTTTATCCAGTGAGTGGCATAAAGTACTTTTTGTTTTATGTGCTTAATTCTGAATTCTCCAAGATTTCAATTAGATTATCTAAACAGCATTTTGTAACATTTTAGGTGAAATGTTGCATTAAGAAATCATAATATATCCTGCATGTATTTAGCCTGACATAATTTTAACTGTCATACATTTTTAAATATCCTATGGCCATTAAAATGTCTATCAGAGAAAACACAATGGTGATTGCAGGTTTAGGATAAATATATATATATTTTTCTTTCTGCCAATTTCTTTTTTTTCTCTTTATTTCCATTTTCTATTCTTTGTCTTCCTCATATCATCTCCTGTTTACAGCAAAGTTGCCATAAAATTGTACCACTTGTCCACTCCCGTAATGGGCCCGGCAGTCCTCTGGGATTAGTGAGTGTGGTCCTCACTCATCAGCCCCTTGCAGTCTGGTCCTCCATGCTCTGCTCAAGCCATCACCTGAAGTCCTAGGAAAATCTACAGACTTCCTGTCTAAGCTTTGAGGCTCATTGCATCAAAAATGAGATGTAGAAGGGACAATGGGGGTTCTTCACTTCCCCAATGTCATGTTACATGGGAAAGGGATGCATTCCTGAGAGGGAAGCTCATGTGACTGGGACTTATATCAGCTGGTGAGCACCAACACAGCTCCATCAGCTGTTGAGATATTAAAATATCCCCGTGGCAGTTCATGTACATCCACTTCCTGGAGTCCCTGGAGCAACCATGTCACCCCAGCTTCATAGGCACTTTGTACAGGTCGTCAGACTTTCCAGCAGGCAAACGACTAGAGGGATAGAGGCACAGAGAGAGGCTCCAGAGGCGGGCTGCAGAGCCACCGCTGACGCAAGTTGTCGCTGGCTGGTGCCGGCCTGTGCATGCTCTTGACGGACAGGTGCAAAATCACCCCTGTCTGGGGAAGGTTGCCGAGGTACTTTCCCAGAAGAAACCAGCGTGCTTCTTTCTATTCACTCTCATTCTATATTTCTGTTATGTTATACGTATAAACACACCTGTTTGAATGCCTTTTAAATCATAAACAGTGCTTCAGTGCTTAGGATACCATTTCAAAAATCCAGTATGATTTGATATAAGTTTTTCCTCCGTCTATCGCTTTGGAAGGGGGGCTGTTCACCACCGAGTTGAATTACAAAGCATTTATGCAATCTCGACTGTTGTAATTAAAGTAATGCCTTTCATTTCATCAGCCAGTCATAGCACTGGATTTGATAACCTTTAAATCCACTCATTTACAATATTTTATCTTTTTTATTTGAGTGCTATAATGATTTTGCATTATATTGGGGTGACTTTTGCAGCATATGATACAATTAGAGAAATAAAACCAATGTATTAAATAGAATTACACTATGTGTATTAATGATCATACATGTATATATGTTCATGTATGAAAAGCTATATTACTATAGAGGTGTCAGTATAAGTAAGTGAATAATATGTTTGCATTCTCAGTTGTTTTATTAGTAGCCAATGTAAATATCTGTCCCCCTTGATCTTGTGCAGTCAGTCACAGAAGTTGCTAAAGGCAAACTCCCCCAACTTGGTGACAGGCTGACTTCCTACATCCCTCCTATTGCAGCACCAACACCCATAAATGTTAAATATGCTCTTAGGGTAGAAATTATCTGATGGGAAAAAAGGTAGGAGGGGAGGAAAGAAAGAATGATACCCATAGACAGGTTTTAAAAGAAGTGTTTTACAAATACTTATTTACCCTGTGTTACAGTTTCCTATGTACATAGCATTTTGTAATAGAGGTTATAAATTCAATAACATGTATATTTTACCCTAAGGAAAACCTTACAAGATCTGTTTCTCCTCAAACCAACATTTTAATGTTAATTTATATCTTAAATGCATTTTGTCATCCCTGACCTTTTACTTGCCACTTTCCAAGTTATGCCACTTTTTTTCATGCAACTGTTTCCTACACAGAAGGTTTTTATGAATTGATGTGTCTGTGTTATCATATTAGTCAAGAACTTATCCGAAATTCAGAACCAAATACACATTCCAAACTCTATAGGAAAATAAAAAATAAGGTGATGACTACTTTTAAGAGCACTGTATTTTTTACATCTAAAACTAATGATGTAATATATGGGGATTAACATAAGAATAAAAAAAAATAAAAACATCAAAAAAAAAAAAGAGCACTGTATTTTCAAAGCCAGGTACCAGTGAATTAATAAAAGATTGCTACACACTTTTAAATCTCAAGATGTTTCTGAACTATCTCCATCTTGTAAGAGTCAGAGAAAATCTTTGAAAATTGTTACGCTGTCTGTGAACATCAGGTGTATGTGGCAATACACAGTCCAGATATTAGAAAAGCCGCAATTTCTTTCTCTCCTATGGTGAGAATTCAGTTAATAATGCAGTGTAATTATTTAGAATTTTGTAAGTTTTTCCGTAGAACTAAATTAATAAATCAGAAGAAGCCTTTGTCATAGTGAGAGCATCAATTTTGAGTTCAGAAAATACTGGTCACTGATCAAGAGGGATACTCTGTAGATGCACTTGTGTATGAGGCTGTCTGGAAACCTGATTGCCTCTTGTTTCTGCTCCTGCCAGCTGAGGGAGCCTGCGGAGGGACCCTGCGGGGAACCAGCAGCACCATCTCCAGCCCCCACTTCCCCTCGGAGTATGGGAACAATGCCGACTGCACCTGGACCATCCTGGCCGAGCCGGGGGACACCATCGCCTTAGTCTTCACCGACTTTCAACTAGAAGAAGGGTACGATTTCTTAGAGATCAGTGGAACAGAAGCACCATCGATATGGTAAGTTCTGGGCAAGAAATGTGTTTACCCCAGATCCAACAATAGGCTTTATAAGATGGCTTTCTTTGGACATTCATTGGCAAACGTAAGTGTTCTTTTCTTGCTTTGCTATTTTGACCACTAACGAGGTCATTTATATTGTGACTGATTTCAAAGTGTCCAAGGTGTTTTTGTGCTGGTCTTTGGAGCTGGAGAAATTATCAGCACATGGGCATTGGCAGTTAACATGCCCTCGTTCTGGACTCTTGTAAAGCAACTCAGAGATGGTAACTAAGCCAGCTAAGTTAGTGTTCGGATTTGTTCTGGAGCTGATTCAGTGTAAGCAGATATTTTTAGACTGTGGCCATTTGAAAATGTCATGTTACCAATCACGGATCTACTCTGCTGCAGATACACAGGATAGCGTATTAATTTTCCTTCCTGAAGATGCTGTACCTGTGAGGGTCAGAGGCAAACCATAAATAGTGATCCAACATAGATAAAAAATTAGTCGACTGAGGATCACTTCTCTGGTGTGTGTGCTGGTGGAGACAGAAGAAAAGTGGGTCTAATCAGTTACAGTGGATTTCGGTCTATCTCTTGGTCACAAGAGCAGCATTAATTGTGTCTGTAAGTGCAGGTGAAGAGGGAGAATTCAAAGAACAGTTGTTTGAGGACTTTATGTCTCAGATTAAGTTATTTGTTGTGAATTGAACTGGCTTTGTTTTAATTATTTCACTTCTTAGTGTTTTAAAAACCCTACTAGTTCTCTGCTTCAGATCTTGAATGATAAGCTAACTTGAATATACGTGTATTTAAATTAGGGTGTAATTTAGAGGAGAATATGAAATGAGCGATTGTGAATATTTCAATGGGTTTAAGTTTGCATTTCAGGATAAAGGATAGAAAATATCAACTCTGAAAAATGTTATAAAATTAGACCACCTGTTTTAAACCAATTATTGAAATGGAAATTTACTTTCTAAGGCTCAAGACACAAAGCAGAGGTTCATATTAATGGGTAAAATATTTACTTTAGTTATGCTGTGATTATATTAGATGTTACCTCAATTAAGAGAAAAATAGTCACTGCCTGTCTGATCTTTGCTTTACATTTGATTCATCTGAAACAATACTCTTAGACTGAGCAAGTTTACCTGTTTGTTAACTTTGTGCTACACAATTTTAAACACTCAAGAATTTGTTGATAGTATCTGACTCATTTTGTGTAACATCAGAGTTAATGGAAACAAGTTGTGAACCTAAACCTGGATGTCCTGAGTTCTCCTCCAAGTTCTGCCATGTTCTGCCTTGTGACCTTGAACAAATCACATAATGGTTTATATAACTTAGGGGAGCTACTAAATCAACTTTTAAGTTCATTCATTAAATATCAATTGAGTGCATATTCTCTGTTAATCACTATAAGAGATTCAGGGATGTAACATTCTAGTTTTAAAATTAATTGTTTTGGTTTTCAGAAATTTATTACAATATAAAATATATGGTGAGTGATTCTCAGAAACTATATGATCAATGGAAGAGGTCTTATTTACGAGAGATTCTAGAGATCGTGGGCACGGACCAACCACATTGCTGCTGAGATGTGAGGCTAGGAAAGAGAGGAAAAAAGTGAGGCATCTTTGACAATGATTTTAGAATTCACAGTTGGGACAGCTTTTGCCAAACAGATTTAGTTTATGTAAGAGAGGAAACGTGGAGGTGCAGATGTCCGTGTCAAGGTCTGAAATAAAAGTAGGACATGTGAAATCAGAAGGAGACACAACTCTCCAAAAGGGCTTCTGGCCCCTACGAACACATTGTGGCTTACCACTGAAAGGCAAAAGCTCGTTCATTTCATTTGTTTCCATAAAAATGGCAGTAGGAGCTGAAGGATGTTGTATAACTCACTGCTCATTTCTTCTTTGCTTATCCCTATTGATTTCTCTCACACCCTCTTCTCCTCTCTGCCTAATCTCTATCTGTGTGTTCCCCTGGTACTTGTTCCCAGCTACTTCAACATCAGACCCAGAAAGTGTGTGAGGATGGGGTCACAGGTGAGCCAAAATTGAATTCTGTCTGAAATGTCAAGTGGGGCTACTGATTCCTGTGTAGCCTGGGAACAACAATTCCTAATCGTTGCCAGAGTGAGCATTGCATGGCAGCCGGGAGATTGGCACATCTTCTTGGTGTCTGGATTCAGGCTAGAAAACATTTTCCAGCTCTCTGAAATATATCTAGGTATTTGCCAGGGCACCAAGATTGATGATCTGTGAACAAATTGGAAAAAAAAAAAATGGCAGAGTTTGGGAAAGTTCTTGGTGGGAACTTTGACCCTGTCTGTGTTTCTTCCAGTCTGATAAATGGGGTGGCCCACGGCCTCAACATGCTCTTTCTCTCAGTGGTTATTATTAGAGAGTTGTGTTCATAACTCTATTCATATGATGATTTGGCTTTGCACAAGAGTCCTAGGGGGTACTTGTTAGCATTATCTAGCTTTTATTGATGAAGAAGCTGAGAGCAAAGCTCAGAGAGCACATGGCACAGCTAGAATTCAAGCTCAAGCCCTCTGACTCCAAATTACATTTCCTTTTCACTCCACTGCAATCCCCACAATAGGACAATGCAGGTCTGGGCTTAATGCTCTGTTGCAAAATTACCTTTTCTCTATTTCAGGACTGTAGGTTGTATCCTAAAGCCTTGAACAGGTTACTACCACGGGGGACAAGAACCAACTGAGAGGCAATTTCACACTCGTGCTGCATCAATAGAGAGTCAGGGCAGACAGAGCGTTTTGGGGTGACATTTGGCATTTATCATAATTATAAAAGAACTATCTTGACATGGCCGTGGGAGCACTCTTAAATGGAGCTCTCATCTTTCAATTACTTTTCAGTGGAGGCTACAGAGGAGTACATGGTTTTCCTACATCACTACTGAAACATACACGAGCACATTTAGAGTACAAAAGAGTCACCTGAAGTACCCTTCTAAGATTTATACAAATGCATAATATGGCTTATCTTAAAAAAAGACTATTATTTTACTATAATTTTGGGCTGTCAGTCTCTGAAATGTTTAATGGTTCAGATTGGCATATTTAAAAGATTTATTATCCCTCCAGTTGAAGGAAGATCCTAAGGACAGTGTAGGTGTGTGTGCCCCCCTCGAGCACAAGGTCACGAAGCAGAGACAGTCGGTCAGTGCGGAAGGCTGAACGTGCAGTGCACCAACACACATAATTTTCCAATCATCTGTTTTTAAAAGACATAAAATACCAGCAAGGGCACTCTCAGAAGAAGCTACTTGGAAAATTGTTAAGAACAATAATAGGATTAGCCTTATTTTCATTGAATTTGGAGTGAAATTACCAACTCAGCTATGTTTTATGTAAGGGTTGCCATGACTACTACAGAACAGTCTAAATGTGGTGAATGATGTAATGTGCCCAGATTATCCATATATTAAATGTGGAAGGGCATGGGATTTAAACCTAATTCACTACACACACACACACACACACACACACACACACGTATATATGTAAGATAGGGCTGATATATTTATTATTATTATTATATTTTATTTTTTACTAGTCAGATTCTAGTTTTACACAGGCTGACTTCCTGTCAATACCCTACTTTAACAGAGAGCTGCCATTTCTAATTCTCTTTGCAACATGGTCTAGTAATTATGATTTTTTTTTTTTTTTTGCAATTAAAAACATGGTTAGCACTGAAGCTTGCCAAGTATTCTTTCTTTCTGAAGTGATTTGATGGTGTAGCATATAGCTCCTAACTCTGGAAATATCAAGAAGAAAGAAAATTGGTATTATTTCAGAGTTAACCTACAGTGGTTTCTAAATTAAGACGTGGTGGTTAAAGGGACCAAGAACAGATAGTCTTGACAGGAGACAACTAACGGAGTATTTCCTATCTTTCAAGTTTGCACTCGTATAATGAGAGTAATTTATTCATCCCCATGTATGACAGGTAGCATGCATAGGGTAGAGGAGGAAAGAAAAGAAAGAATAGTAAACCCATTTAAGAAGTTTCCCAAAACATGGTGAAAGGCATCTGTTCCCCCAAAATCTTCAATGACCGAGCCTCAGGCCATCAGATTAGAATCCACATGCCTTAGCACGCCGTTCAAGGCTTGACATAGCACGTGCAGCCTGCCCTCCGTCCTGCCATGCCCCACCCCTGCATCCTGCAGTTTGCCTCTCTGAACACATCTCTGTTTCACGTTAGCACATATTTGCGTCCCTGGCACATGTGCTCAGGTACACGACTCCGCACGGAAATCCCACACTGACCAATTGAATCGACATTCAGTTAACCTAATGCTTAGAGCACTGTATGGATGGCCTCCCACTTAAAGGAGTCCTACAAGTGGAACAGTCTGTCCGATCTCCTCCCCTGGAAGATGTCCTAGGTGATAAATGCAAGGATGCTCTGTGCTGCTTTGGATTAGACCTGCCTCGTTCTATCAATAGAACGTCTGTTAGTTTATGATTCTTTTAAGGTTTCAGTTCAATTATTCACTAACCAGTATATCTCTACCCCTTTGTCTATCTGATTTGTGCAAGATTACTCTTGAGGGGACCAAAAAAAAAAAAAGTTTTGTAACTGCACTTTATTTGGTTCCCATTAATGAAGCATAATCTCACTATTAAATCAATCTAATCAGTGACCTGCTGAAGCCAAAACAAAACTTCAAAGAAATTGGAGAAGCTGAGTGAGTTTCAAAGAACCCTTGAAGGGTCAGTTAACACCTACAATGTTTATCCAACTTGTCACTTAATTGAGAAGTGACTTGGTGCATATTTAATTTATAATGAGGAAGGATTACGGAGTCATACACAGAGTGACAGATTCCCTGGAAGGAACCCTTCCACTCCCCTGCCCAAGGTAGAAGAAAAGGAAGGATCCTTCCCCTCTCTCCTTATTTTATTTTTTAACTGTTCATTTTGAAATCACTTTACAGAGAATTTGCAAAGCTGGCTCAGAGAGTCGCTGTAT